TGCTTCAGACAGCCGGCGAGACGAAAGGCGGGGTCCAAGAGCTCATGTTCGATCTGCAGGCACAAATATGTGTGAGAAATACAGAAAAGGACAGTAAGGACTCACTGAACTTTAGGCCAGTGCCTTACATTCATACCATGCGAGGTGATGGTGAAGATTGTGAGGATACTGCACCATATTGGTTCACTGTCACTGTCTCGTGGGATCACTGTGGTCAACACTGCCTCGTGGGATCACTGTGGTCAACACTACCTCGTGGGATCACTGTGGTCAACACTACCTCGTGGGATCACTGTGGTCAACACTACCTCGTGGGATCACTGTGGTCAACACTGTCTCGTGGGATCACTGTGGTCAACACTGTCTCGTGGGATCACTGTGGTCAACACTGCCTCGTGGGATCACTGTGGTCAACACTACCTCGTGGGATCACTGTGGTCAACACTACCTCGTGGGTTCACTGTGGTCAACACTACCTCGTGGGATCACTGTGGTCAACACTACCTCGTGGGATCACTGTGGTCAACACTACCTCGTGGGATCACTGTGGTCAACACTACCTCGTGGGATCACTGTGGTCAACACTGCCTCGTGGGATCACTGTGGTCAACACTACCTCGTGGGCTCACTGTGGTCAACACTACCTCGTGGGATCACTGTGGGCAACACTACCTCGTGGGATCACTGTGGTCAACACTACCTCGTGGGATCACTGGGGTCAACACTACCTCGTGGGTTCACTGTGGTCAACACTGCCTCGTGGGATCACTGTGGGCAACACTACCTCGTGGGTTCACTGTGGTCAACACTACCTCGTGGGATCACTGTGGGCAACACTACCTCGTGGGATCACTGGGGTCAACACTACCTCGTGGGATCACTGGGGTCAACACTACCTCGTGGGATCACTGTGGGCAACACTGCCTCGTGGGATCACTGTGGTCAACACTACCTCGTGGGATCACTGTGGTCAACACTACCTCGTGGGATCACTGTGGGCAACACTGCCTCGTGGGATCACTGTGGGCAACACTACCTCGTGGGATCACTGTGGTCAACACTACCTCGTGGGATCACTGTGGGCAACACTGCCTCGTGGGATCACTGTGGGCAACACTACCTCGTGGGATCACTGTGGTCAACACTACCTCGTGGGATCACTGTGGGCAACACTACCTCGTGGGATCACTGTGGTCAACACTACCTCGTGGGATCACTGTGGTCAACACTACCTCGTGGGTTCACTATGGATATATATTTATATATTCACCGAATTAGGTTTTTTTAAATGTTGTATAATGTCAACCAAACTTTGTTTACTAGTTGTACATAAGAAGCGCTGCAACTGTTCTACGTTTCAGTATCGCACCCTAACTAGAAAGGGAGTTATTTTTATTTTGGTTTTTTTCCAACTAATTTTACACATTTTCAATAATCTTCACAAGCACAAGTTTTAAATGAAATCATTTCTATGACACTCATATATCATATTTGTATATAATAAAGAATTTCTATTAAAAGGATCATCCAAAATATATTTAGTTTTACTAATACAAGTAGTCAAAGTTCCCCCAAAAATATATGTAAATATTTCATCTTTGAAATTGTTGATAAAATCAATAAAGGACCTTAGGAAAAAAGTGTTTAATACAGTTTGTAGAGACGTAATCTCTACACATAAGGTGTAAATTTCATATAAATTGAAGTAAATGAAAGCAGTGAAGTAATTTTATGTTACTTGACAATAAATATCATCAAAGATTCTGCCATCTGTGGTTGAAGTTCACTTCAACCAATTTCCTCCAAAATTTGCGTCCTTACAGATGGGCTTCCGTTCGGTAAGGTACATAAGTTTCAGGAAAATCGGCTGATAAAAACTATGAGAAAAAATCGAGAAAAAAATATTTTTTGTAGTAAAAATATTAAATAAATTTTGTTTTTATAAAAATATAAAATAAAATTATATTTTTATAACAAATATTAAAATTATAAAATATTAAATAAAAAAAATAATATCTCATAAAAAATATAAAAAGTATATTTTTGGATTGTGGGAAAGCCTTTGAGACAGCACAAGGAGAGTAGTGGCTGAAGTAGGAGACGCAGGCAGGGGTGACATGGACGGTGTGGCTGTAGAGAAAGGAGTACCTGAGCGACATAAAACAGCGAGTGACTATGAGGAGTGAGGTCTCCGTGGCGGGAAGTTACAAGCTTTTGGAGTTTAGCTCAAACAAGTGCAAAGTAATGAAAGCAAAATAACTTGAGAGTTGAAATCACACCTGTGACGGTAAAGCGTTGGTGTTCGGCTGTTTCAAAAGCTAGGGGCAGGGCCTCGTCACATTATAGAAAAAAAAGAGAAAAGCTGGAGCTTTCGCCTGTGGTAAGGTAATGGGAAGACACACAAAACACAAGTAAATTAACAATGAAATTTTAATTACTTTAGAAAAACAAGACATGAATAAAGTTAAGCACATAAAATATAAAAGACAAGTCAACAAACAAAATAATATGAATAATCACTGGCAAATGAAAAGTTACGTTAAGACAAGTGAGTTACAGTGATAGCAAAATAAAATGTTAATGGAGCTGGAATATTGGCTTCGAGCTGCCACCTCCCTTAGTACACGAAAGCCAAGGCTTAGTCTACCAGAGAGAGATGTCAACTGCAAGGAGCACTGAGATATTCTGACGATACTGGAGCACTGCAGCCCAGACATCAACTTGTGGCGGAGGGCGGAGGGCAGGTGAGACGGGACACCAGCCAATCAGCGACAGGCAGGCAAAGGACGAGCAGTTTGCCGGTTACGACGGTGGTAGCTAGCAGGTGTCACTGTGTGCTGGGTACGATTTGCTCTCTGGGCAAAACGTTTGGCGATACTTGCTGGACGTATCTTCTATATTATCTTTAATATTGACGTACTTTGTAGGGAAGAGCAGGCTCAATCTCTCTTGAAAGAGATTATCGTCACACACCTGTCTCCTGAAGCCCACATTAACCGGTCGTCATCAGCGGCGTATGATATTTGTCTAACACTACAACTGCCGTAGGAAATCAAAGAAAACATTCCTTTATGAAAATTTCAGAGATATGCCATCAGACGAGTCTTTGTGGCGCAGTGGCAACACACTCGCCCTGCGCTTCGTAACAACTTCGTGACGAGTTGGCCTGGGTTCGTGTCCTGGGCGGGGAGGATTGACTAGGCGCCAATCCTTAATTCCAGGGAATATTAAGATTAAGAACTTGCCCGAAACGCAATGCGCGCTAGTGGCTGAACACGACTGTAAGAACTCTTGTTCTTCCATAAGAATATGAAGGGTGAGAATAAGAAGGCTTAACGTCTTGGTAAGAAGGGTGTTGGGAAGTGGAAGGTCAGGGGAAGTGGAAGGTCAGGGCAAATGGAAGGTCAGGGGAAGTGGAAGGTCAGGGCAAGTGGAAGGTCGGGGGAAGTGGAAGGTCAGGGTAAGTGGAAGGTCTGGGGAAGTGGAAGGTCAGGGCAAGTGGAAGGTCTTGGGGAGTGGAAGGTCAGGGCAAGTGGAAGGTCTGGGGAAGTGGAAGGTCAGGGCAAGTGGAAGGTCAGGGCAAGTGGAAGGTCTGGGGAAGTGGAAGGTCTGGGGAAGTGAAAGATCTGGGGAAGTGGAAGGTCTGGGGAAGTGGAAGGTCAGGGGAAGTGGAAGGTCTGGGGAAGTGGAAGGTCAGGGCAAGTGGAAGGTCTGGGGAAGTGGAAGGTCAGGGCAAGTGGAAGGTCTGGGGAAGTGGAAGGTCAGGGCAAGTGGAAGGTCAGGGCAAGTGGAAGGTCTGGGGAGTGGAAGGTCTGGGGAAGTGGAAGGTCTGGGGAAGTGGAAGGTCTGGGGAAGTGGAAGGTCTGGGGAAGTGGAATGTCTGGGGAAGTGGAAGGTCAGGGGAAGTGGAAGGTCAGGGGAAGTGGAAGGTCTGGGGAAGTGGAAGGTCTGGGGAAGTGAAAGATCTGGGGAAGTGGAAGGTCTGGGGAAGTGGAAGGTCAGGGGAAGTGGAAGGTCTGGGGAAGTGGAAGGTTAGGGCAAGTGGAAGGTCTGGGGAAGTGGAAGGTCAGGGCAAGTGGAAGGTCAGGGCAAGTGGAAGGTCTGGGGAAGTGGAAGGTCTGGGGAAGTGAAAGATCTGGGGAAGTGGAAGGTCTGGGGAAGTGGAAGGTCAGGGGAAGTGGAAGGTCTGGGGAAGTGGAAGGTTAGGGCAAGTGGAAGGTCTGGGGAAGTGGAAGGTCAGGGCAAGTGGAAGGTCTGGGGAAGTGGAAGGTCAGGGCAAGTGGAAGGTCAGGGCAAGTGGAAGGTCTGGGGAGTGGAAGGTCTGGGGAAGTGGAAGGTCTGGGGAAGTGGAAGGTCTGGGGAAGTGGAAGGTCTGGGGAAGTGGAATGTCTGGGGAAGTGGAAGGTCAGGGGAAGTGGAAGGTCAGGGGCAGTGGAAGGTCTGGGGAAGTGGAAGGTCTGGGGAAGTGGAAGGTCTGGGGAAGTGGAAGGTCAGGGGAAGTGGAAGGTCAAGGCAAGTGGAAGGTCTGGGGAAGTGGAAGGTCTGGGGAAGTAGAAGATCAGGGGAAGTGGAAGGTCAGGGCAAGTGGAAGGTCTGGGGAAGTGGAAGGTCTGGGGAAGTGGAAGGTCAGGGGAAGTGGAAGGTCAGGGGAAGTGGAAGGTCTAGGGAAGTGGATGGTCAGGGGAAGTGGAAGGTCAGGGGAAGTGGAAGGTCTGGGGAAGTGGAAGGTCTGGGGAAGTGGAAGGTCTGGGGAAGTGGAAGGTCTGGGGAAGTGGAAGGTCAGGGGAAGTGGAAGGTCAGGGGAAGTGGAAGGTCAGGGGAAGTGGAAGGTCTGGGGAAGTGGAAGGTCTGGGGAAGTGGAAGGTCAGGGGAAGTGGAAGGTCAGGGGAAGTGGAAGGTCTGGGGAAGTGGAAGGTCTGGGGAAGTGGAAGGTCTGGGGAAGTGGAAGGTCTGGGGAAGTGGAAGGTCTGGGGAAGTGGAAGGTCAGGGGAAGTGGAAGGTCAGGGGAAGTGGAAGGTCTGGGGAAGTGGAAGGTCTGGGGAAGTGGAAGGTCTGGGGAAGTGGAAGGTCTGGGGAAGTGGAAGTCTGGGGAAGTGGACGGTCTGGGGAAATGGAAGGTCTGGGGAAGTGGAAGGTCTGGGGAAGTGGAAGGTCAGGGGAAGTGGAAGGTCTGGGGAAGTGGAAGGTCTGGGGAAGTGGAAGGTCTGGGGAAGTGGAAGGTCTGGGGAAGTGGAAGGTCTGGTGAAGTGGAAGGTCTGAGGAAGTGGAAGGTCTGGGGAAGTGGAAGGTCTGGGGAAGTGGAAGGTCTGGGGTAGTGGAAGGTCGGGGGAAGTGGAAGGTCTGTGCAAGTGGAAGGTCTGGGGAAGTGGAAGGTCTGGGTAAGTGGAAGGTCTGTGCAAGTGGAAGGTCTGTGCAAGTGGAAGGTCTGTGCAAGTGGAAGGTCTGGGGAAGTGGAAGGTCTGTGCAAGTGGAAGGTCTGTGCAAGTGGAAGGTCTGTGCAAGTGGAAGGTCTGTGCAAGTGGAAGGTCTGGGGAAGTGGAAGGTCTGTGCAAGTGGAAGGTCTGTGCAAGTGGAAGGTCTGTGCAAGTGGAAGGTCTGTGCAAGTGGAAGGTCTGTGCAAGTGGAAGGTCTGGGGAAGTGGAAGGTCTGTGCAAGTGGAAGGTCTGGGGAAGTGGAAGGTCTGTGCAAGTGGAAGGTCTGTGCAAGTGGAAGGTCTGTGCAAGTGGAAGGTCTGTGGAAGTGGAAGGTCTGGGGAAGTGGGAGGTCTGGGGAAGTGGAAGGTCTGTGCAAGTGGAAGGTCTGGGGAAGTGGAAGGTCTGGGGAAGTGGAAGGTCTGTGCAAGTGGAAGGTCTGTGCAAGTGGAAGGTCTGTGCAAGTGGAAGGTCTGTGCAAGTGGAAGGTCTGTGCAAGTGGAAGGTCTGGGGAAGTGGAAGGTCTGTGCAAATGGAAGGTCTGTGCAAGTGGAAGGTCTGTGCAAGTGGAAGGTCTGTGCAAGTGGAAGGTCTGGGGAAGTGGATGGTCTGTGCAAGTGGAAGGTCTGTGCAAGTGGAAGGTCTGTGCAAGTGGAAGGTCTGTGGAAGTGGAAGGTCTGGGGAAGTGGGAGGTCTGGGAAAGTGGAAGGTATGTGCAAGTGGAAGGTCTGGGGAAGTGGAAGGTCTGGGGAAGTGGAAGGTCTGTGCAAGTGGAAGGTCTGTGCAAGTGGAAGGTCTGTGCAAGTGGAAGGTCTGGGGAAGTGGAAGGTCTGTGCAAATGGAAGGTCTGTGCAAGTGGAAGGTCTGTGCAAGTGGAAGGTCTGTGCAAGTGGAAGGTCTGGGGAAGTGGAAGGTCTGTGCAAGTGGAAGGTCTGTGCAAGTGGAAGGTCTGTGCAAGTGGAAGGTCTGTGGAAGTGGAAGGTCTGGGGAAGTGGGAGGTCTGGGGAAGTGGAAGGTCTGTGCAAGTGGAAGGTCTGGGGAAGTGGAAGGTCTGGGGAAGTGGAAGGTCTGTGCAAGTGGAAGGTCTGTGCAAGTGGAAGGTCTGTGCAAGTGGAAGGTCTGTGCAAGTGGAAGGTCTGTGCAAGTGGAAGGTCTGGGGAAGTGGAAGGTCTGTGCAAATGGAATGTCTGTGCAAGTGGAAGGTCTGTGCAAGTGGAAGGTCTGTGCAAGTGGAAGGTCTGGGGAAGTGGAAGGTCTGTGCAAGTGGAAGGTCTGTGCAAGTGGAAGGTCTGGGGAAGTGGAAGGTCTGTGCAAATGGAAGGTCTGTGCAAGTGGAAGGTCTGTGCAAGTGGAAGGTCTGTGCAAGTGGAAGGTCTGTGCAAGTGGAAGGTCTGTGCAAGTGGAAGGTCTGGGCAAGTGGGAGGTCTGTGCAAGTGGAAGGTCTGTGCAAGTGGAAGGTCTGTGCAAGTGGAAGGTCTGTGCAAGTGGAAGGTCTGTGCAAGTGGAAGGTCTGGGCAAGTGGGAGGTCTGGGCAAGTGGAAGGTCTGGGGAAGTGGAAGGTCTGGGCAAGTGGAAGGTCTGGGGAAGTGGAAGGTCTGGGGAAGTGGAAGGTCTGGGGAAGTGGAAGGTCTGGGGAAGTGGGAGGTCTGGGGAAGGCAGACGTCCCCAAGAGAGAGGCCTCAGACCATCTGCTTTACCACCTCACGGCTCCCATTGATTATTTCATTACTCTCTCTCACCACTTTCTCTCACTTCTCTCACCACTTTCTCCCACTTTTCTCCTCCTCACCTCAAGTGAGGCATCGCTCCTCTTCCTCCTTTCTTCAACCTCATACATGAGAGCATCGCGGAGGCATCATGCCTCTTGTTTGGTGGTCTCTATTGGCCTGTCATCGCCGTGTGCAGGAAGCAACAGTCTGCTGGATCACACACCTCAAGACAATACAACACGTTACCTAGGAACATTAACCTTGGTGTTACCTGTGTCTTACCAACTACCACCAAACTCCTGTAAATATTTCTAAGGCAACTAACCTCTAATATCTAATGTCTAAAGTATCTAATTCTAGTATCTAAATTATCTAATTCTAATATCTAAAGTACCTGCAATAATGTTAATTATTTAATGTAAGTTCGACCTTACATTAAATAATTAACTCCGTAAACAGCCAGCAGAGTTATACAGCAGGCAGAGAGCAGCATACTCATACTAAGCAGAGAGCAGCATACTCATACTAAGCAGAGAGCAGCATACTCATACTAAGCAGAGAGCAGCATACTCATACTAAGCAGAGAGCAGCATACTCATACTAAGCAGAGAGCAGCATACTCATACTAAGCAGAGAGCAGCATACTCATACTAAGCAGAGAGCAGCATACTCATACTAAGCAGAGAGCAGCATACTCATACTAAGCAGAGAGCAGCATACTCATACTAAGCAGAGAGCAGCATACTCATACTAAGCAGAGAGCAGCATACTCATACTAAGCAGAGAGCAGCATACTCATACTAAGCAGAGAGCAGCATACTCATACTAAGCAGAGAGCAGCATACTCATACTAAGCAGAGAGCAGCATACTCATACAATAAGCAGAGAGCAGCATACTCACACAATAAGCAGAGAGCAGCATACTCATACAATAAGCAGAGAGCAGCATACTCATACAATAAGCAGAGAGCAGCATACTCATACAATAAGCAGAGAGCAGCATACTCACACAATAAGCAGAGAGCAGCATACTCACACTATAAGCAGAGAGCAGCATACTCACACAATAAGCAGAGAGCAGCATACTCATACAATAAGCAGAGAGCAGCATACTCACACAATAAGCAGAGAGCAGCATACTCACACTATAAGCAGAGAGCAGCATACTCACACAATAAGCAGAGAGCAGCATACTCACACAATAAGCAGAGAGCAGCATACTCACAATAAGCAGAGAGCAGCATACTCACACTATAAGCAGAGAGCAGCATACTCACACAATAAGCAGAGAGCAGCATACTCACAATAAGCAGAAAGCAGCATACTCACAATAAGCAGAGAGCAGCATACTCACACAATAAGCAGAGAGCAGCATACTCACACAATATGCAGAGAGCAGCATACACAAATAGTAAGCAGAGAGCAGCATACTTACACAATAAGCAGGGATGTATAGTGTCAGCAGCATACTCACACTATAAGCAGAGAGCTGCATACTCACCCAATAAGCAGAGAGCAGCATACTCACACTATAAGCTGGGATGTATAGTGTCAGCAGCATACTCACACTATAAGCAGAGAGCTGCATACTCACAATAGGCAGAGAGCAGCATACTCACACAATAAGCAGAGAGCAGCATACTCACACAATAAGCAGAGAGCAGCATACTCACACAATAAGCAGAGAGCAGCATATTCACACAATAAGCAGAGAGCAGCATTCTCACACAATAAGCAGAGAGCAGCATACTCACACAATATGCAGAGAGCAGCATACACAAATAGTAAGCAGAGAGCAGCATACTTACAAAATAAGCAGGGATGTATAGTGTCAGCAGCATACTCACACTATAAGCAGAGAGCTGCATACTCACAATAATCATAATTGTCAGTACATTGACTTACTTGCTTTAAGAACAAATACAAAAAAAAATTGAATTAAGTAGAGTGCTCCCTGAAGAAGATAGATGGTTCTTGTCTATCACCTAATATTAGAAACAATCAATACTATGCTCTAACTTCTTAACATCAGTAAATAAATCAGTGTCAACACATCATCATATACAATGTCAACATTGCACCACAAACATCATATGACAGTATAATGATGATAATAACACCATCTCCCTACCCACACAGTCTTACAAGAGCAACACAGTCACTGACCTAGTGATTTTACCTGACCTTCTAACATGGCTTTCTAGTCTGGCCTTCTAACATGACCCTCTAACCTGACTTTCTAACATGACCCTCTAACCTGACCTTCTAACATGACCCTCTGACCTGACCTTCTAACCTAACCTAACCTAACCTAACCTAACCTAACCTGACCTTCTAACCTGACCTTCTAACCTGACCTAACCTGACCTTCTAACCTGACCTTCTAACCTGACCTTCTAACCTTACCTTCTAACCTGACCTTTTAATGTGATCTTCTAGCCTGACCATCTAGCCTGACCTTCTAACCTAATCTTCTAACCTGATCTTTTAACCTGACCTTCTGCCTTACCTTGAGGTGCTTCCGGGGCTTAGCGTCCCCGCGGCCCGGTCGTCGACCAGGCCACCTGGTTACTGGACTGGTCAACCAGGCTGTTGGACGCGGCTGCTCGCAGCCTGACGTATGAGTCACAGCCTGGTTGATCAGGTATCCTTTGGAGGTGCTTATCCAGTTCTCTCTTGAACACTGTGAGGGGTCAACCAGTTATGCCCCTTATGTGTAGTGGAAGCGTGTTGAACAGTCTCGGGCCTCTGATGTTGATAGAGTTCTCTCTCAGAGTACCTGTTGCACCTCTGCTTTTCAACGGGGGTATTCTGCACATCCTGCCATGTCTTCTGGTCTCATGTGGTGTTATTTCTGTGTGCAGGTTTGGGACCAGCCCCTCTAATATTTTCCACGTGTAAATTATTATGTATCTCTCCCGCCTGCGCTCAAGGGAAGATTTAGGCTCTTTAGTCGGTCCCAGTAGTTTAGATGTTTTACTGAGTGGATTCTAGCAGTAAAGGATCTCTGCACGCTCTCCGTGTCAGCAATTTCTCCAGCTTTGAAAGGGGCTGTCATTGTGCAGCAGTACTCCACTCTAGAGAGCACAAGCGTCTTGAAGAGTATCATCATCGGTATAGCATCTCTAGTGTGAAAGGTTCTTGTTATCCAACCTGTCATTTTTCTTGCAGTTGTGACGGCTACTTTATTGTGTTCTTTAAAGGTAAGGTCTTCCGATATGAGTACACCCAGATCCTTTACATTGCCTTTTCGTTCTATGTTATGATTTGCCTGAGTTTTGTACGTGGATTCCGTTTACATATTTTAATTTTTTCCGTAGCGCATGAGCTGGAACTTATCTTCGTTAAACACCATATTATTTTTTGTAGCCCATAGAAAGACCTGATTTACATCTGATTGGAGGTTTGCCGTGTCCTCTATGTTGTCTACTCTCATGAAGATCCTAGTGTCATCTACAAAGGATGATACAGTACCATAGATTGTGTCCTTGTCTATGTCCGATATGAGATTAGAAAAAGTACTGGAGCAAGCACAGTACCCTGGGGGGACTGAGCTCTTCACGGTTGATGGGCTGGATTTTATTTTATTGACTATTACACATTGGGTTCTTTTAGTCAGGAAATTGTTGATCCATCTGCCTATTTTTCCGGTAATTCCTTTTGAACGCATTTTATGTGCAATAACACCATGGTCACATTTGTCGAAGACTATTGCGAAATCTGTGTAAAAATACATCAGCGTTTTGTTTGTCTTCCATAGCATCTAATGCCATATCATAGTGGTCCAGCAACTGCGACAGGCAAGAGCGCCCTGTTCTGAAACCATGTTGTCCGGGGTTATGGAGATTCTGTGATTCCATGTATTTTGTGATCTTACTTCTTTTCACTCTCTCAAAGATTTTTATGATGTGTGATGTTAGTGCTATCGGTCTGTAATTTTTTCCTTCTGCCTTATTTCCTCCTTTATGGAGTGGTGCTATCTCTGCTGTTCTTAGTATGTCAGGGATAACGCCAGTATCTAGGCTTTGTCTCCACAGAATGTGGAGGGCCTGCGATAGTGGTTTTCTTTACAGTTCTTGATGAATATGGAGTTCCAAGAATCCGGGCCTGGTGCAGAGTGCGTAGGCATACTGTTTATGGCTTCTTCAAAATCCAGTGGGAATAGGGTGACATCTGATATTTGATTTGATGTTTGTATCATATCCATGAAAAATTCATTTGGGTTATCAATCTTTAGTGTGTTTAGTGGCTCGCTGAAAACAGAGTCTTACTGGTTCCTCAGCATTCCGCTCATTTCTTTGTTATCATCTGGGGGTGTCTGTGAAAGTTCCATCTCCCTTTCGCAGGGGCCCGATACTAGATGTGGTTTTTTATCTTGATTTTGCACAGGAGAAAAAGTATTTCGGATTTCTCTCTATTTCACTGATGGCCTTTTGCTCTCTTTGCCTCTCCTGGGTTTCGTATGATTCATTTAGCTTTAGTTCAATTGTTTCTACTTCTCTACCTAACCTTCTTCGCCGTTCTTGAGATAGAGTGCGACTCTCAAGTTGTTCCGCGATTCGTTTTCTTCGCCTATATAGGGAACGACGTTCCCGTTCCAGTCTTCATCTCTTCCTCTTTTCTTTCTTAGGGTATGCCGTTTGAGCATATTTCTAGTGCTATTGAGCATATTTTTTCCAGGCATTGGTTCAGGTTTGCATTTTCTAGCTGTTCTTCCAAGTTTATTTCTGTGA